CGAATCTGGGGTTCTCTAGAAGGCACTTAAGGTTATCTTCATACGATTCCCAAACGAGTGGGTTCCCGAAGACCTCTGCTGAACTAATCAAACCGACAGCTTTCTCAGCGGGTGATCTCCCAGAAAAAAATGTTAAACCCCAGCAACAAATAAAATCAAAAATCGAGGCATTGGCTGAGCAAGTCAATCATGGAATTGTGGGCTAAAGATATTGTGAGTTTTTGTGAAATTAATTAGAAGACAATTCCCAAAAAATACAGATCAACAGTCTTTCCCAAACAAGCGTGTGAAACAATTAGGGCCCGAACAGAATCCCAAGCGATGAAGCTTCCTCCGACGGTGCTTTCAACGTGTAGCTCTTCTTGCTGCTGGCTCCATCTGGTACTGGAATCTCTGCTGCTCTGATCTCCGGTTCCTAAGCCATGGCTGTTTAAGTAACCCCCTACCTTAATTCTAAAATAACATTAATACTGAGAGTATACTTGTTGGGATGTTATGGCAAAAATCTCAGATGGACACCAAGTCTTAATGCCACAATACTTAATTTTTTCTTCATTGGGTTCGTCGACGAATTTGAAGAAAAGGGGACAGTTTCGCTCTAACAACAAAAAATCTAAAGTGTAGTGGCTTGTGCTGAATTTGAATATGACACAAAATATATATGAATAAACAACCATGTATCCACTTCTTTCCAACGTGCGGCCATCAGCGAAGAATCATCTGTGGTAGTCCCCTTGCCCTTCGGTTTGTTTTTGGGAACCTCATCCTTGATTTCTGGTTCCTCCGGTTCCTCCTCATGATCAGAACCTTCGAAACCATTTGGTGGAACAGTAGGTGGGGGTGCAACCTTGCCCCGGCCACGGCCGCGCCCCTTGCCCCGGCCACGTGCTCCTCCAGGCTTCTTGCCAATCAACTTGACCACCTTAGCGTCCGCCCGGGCCTTTTCAACCAGCCGCTGGGCATCAGAAACCTTCTTGGCCTTGTTGGCCTGCGGGGAGTGGATGCTTGGGTTGGGACCTGATTTGAAAACACACCTCTAGTATGGGGACCAATGGCAACGTGTCAGGGAATAACATATAACAAATCAGTGAGTTGTCACCCCAGTGCAAGTTTTGGGGCCTTCAACTGTGCAGCATGCACATCCAACTCGGTGTCGGCATCTGGAAACGTTTGCTCAAATTGATCCTGGGCATCCTTTTCCATGTCAGCATCAACTTCAGGAGGGACAGGCTGCACTGGTTGACGATCCTGCGTATGCAGTTAGCATCTCCACTTGGATTGTTTTGTGTTTTTCAGGTTTGTTCTGAAATCAAAATCTATGAAGGATAAGAGCCCACAGAAGACCAAGTTGAGTCATGCTATTGAAAATAAAATATCAGATCAATTTCCAAATTATAAGATTTCACTTGTAGCTTAAATGTAATTAATCAGTGGGTTTCCGGATATATATATATATATATATGGTCGGGTTCCCGCACGAATTTGGGGTTATATATATATGTGTTTTTTCTCCAGATGCATCTCTGAATGGGAAGATAATTTAAGAAAGGATTCCGAAAACAAATAATGTTATATGCAGCCAGACTATTTTGGGGATCTGGATTTTCAAGACACATAGGCAACCCCTCCTTATCAGCTTGTCGTCGGTGACCGGGGTCAGAGGCTTCTAGGGAATTTGAACCCTTAACTGCATCAACGTCAATCATAATGTTCTCAAGTTGCTTGCAGAGCTCGGTTTCCAACTCCAACTCCAAAGTGTCCATCGGCAACGTGTCCATCTCATCAGGCGAAGTTGCCGTCTTAGCCTCATTCGGTATATATATATATAATATCTCTTGGATGACCCCATCGAAAGAAAACTAGGATGACACAACATTAACCGATAGGACAAGTTCAATTATTAAACGCAACCATGAAACCATAGTTTAAAAGGGGGCTCCACATAGGACCATGATATATACTACATATTCGTATTTATATATATACATATACAATGTACAATGTGAGGCCCCCAACATAGCTATGTTGGTTTATAACTCCAATAACTATATTGGTTTATGGTAGTTATAACTATAGTTCCTGGGGCTTAGAAACCAACTTATAACTGAGGGGCCTCACATTGTATGTATAATATCATTCACAGGGACCACCTTCCCAAATTATCTCTATTTGTTGTGACAAGGCCCAAACGTGTCAAGGAACTGATGAGGAAGGTTGCCCACCTGCCGGTGTTGATTGCAATGAGATCGCGCTTGCAGGTGTGCAGGTTCGGCTCAATGGGGACGGAGATGTGCTCTCCTCAAGGTCCTGAAGGGATCGGGGCGTTTGTAGATCCATGCGGGTGAGGGCCCAAGCACCAATCAACTGAGTTTGTCAAAAGCATATCGGTCGGAAATATGTCTCCTCAAAAACACCTAAAAACACCCAAAAAGGAACCCCCCCGGGGGGGTTCCTTTTTGGCACTTTTCCCTTTGCAGGGGGTTCTTTAGGGGGTGGCAAGCTAGCGGGAAAATAGCTAAAACTTGCTTTAATTTCATGTCGATGATATTTTTAGAGTCACTTGCCAACGAGAAACATGTTTGTTAGGGATGGGTTGCACAAACAAAAAGCAATGGTTGGACGTTTGGACCACTTTGCCTCATCCAAAGCGGCAGCCAGAGCCGACTCTGCATCCTTCCCACCTCAAGGGCTGACCAACGCATTTGGTTTGGGAAAAAAAAGAAACCCAAGAACATCACCAATGATTTAGTTTAAATGGCAACTCCTTATTTTTTCTGGGTGATATAACACGTATGATTTCTAAAAACCGGGCCTGACTGGTGGATCAGGTTCAAAAGGAAGTTCTTGACATTCGCAATCACTGGGCACTTTGCTTTGGGGGTACGCTTGGTCAGCTCCAATGCATGGACCACTGCGCACCGAATCACAGGAGCCTCCCGATCGGCCCAATCCTGAACAAGGCTGGTGCTTTGGGTTGACGGTTGGGGTTACAATCGGAGAACGGTGACCCCATAGCAACAGAATTTTCTTTAAATTCCAACCACCTAGCAGGATCTAATCTGATAACCAATAGGGATTCATGGAAACAAGTACAACATCTTGCTAGTAAGATTCTCTGATTGCTCCAGCACGTGCTTTCTGACCCAGAAGCAAGTACCGCTTGGCCAAGAGCCGGAGCACTGCCTGGGGATTTTTTCTGGATCAGGTTCAACATGTCTCCATTTTTTCCCAAGGTGTTTTTCTGGAGCACTTTGGGTAACCCACCGAAATTGACATTTCATTAAACATGAAAAATCTGAATAGTGCAAAGATGCCGCATGGGACTTGAGGGTGGGAATGAAGCAGCCATCGAAGCTGGCATAGTAACCCATGATAAACCGCCAGTGTATCTTGACCTGTGCTGGCCGTTTCTGTACCATGTGGGATCCAAGTGCAAGATTGTCATACTACAAGTGATGATCATCAAAAAAAAAGTTGGTAAAGCCTAAAGCGCCAAGAAACCATCTCAGCGCTGTTGGGTCCATCTAAAGGTTTCTCCAGCAACACATGGTCCTTACAGGCTTTGCATTTGAATTGGCCACAAATAACTACTACAAATTACAAACATACCTTTCATATTCAAGGCCCAAACCCAAAAGGGGAAACAACAGGGAAAAAAAACACATCCAACCAACTAAGACTCCTTCCGGATACGGTCCAATCGGCTCCCTTCTAAAAGCCAAGAGTTCAAGAAGTCCTCCAGGGAGAGGGGAGGCAGACACCGCACATAGATAGTTCAAACCAATGTGTACTTTTGGAAAAAAACACAGGGGAATAGCCTCAACTCAGATAAGTTATAGGGCCTAGCTACCCATGTCTTTTCGGTTTTCCAAACCCTATCCTCGAGAATGAACTTCTGTGTCTTCGAGTCCATGGCAGGTTGGCAAGCGGATCCGAGCTTGCGTGGAACCAAAAAAATCTGAACATTACCCGGGTGAGATGGTTTGGGATGTACTTGGCCATATATAATACCTAAAGAATCCAAGTAGGCAAATAGCTGTAGGTATTAGTCCTCAGAACCAGGTATTTGTCGGTTTTTCAACACTATAAGAATCAAGAGTAAATATGTCCTCCGAGCTACAATGCGTACCCAAGTTTGGTTCGACCACCAAAGATATTTTGGGGTGATTATCAAGTACTTAATGATCAATATCTTACTGCCTGGCACCTCACCACCGGAGCCAGATAGGCGCACCACTGTAATGGTCCCAAATGGCATTGCTCGTAGGAACCTTTGCGTTGGCTTCAAATGGGTGACAAATTACAATATCGTAGTGTGAGAAGAAAAATATCGCCGTTTTTTTTCGGGGCACCCCATAGACAAACCAGAATTTCTCAAAAAACACATGAATAGTGTCGAGGTGCAGGGTCAGGTGCAGGGCCATGTGCATGATCATCTGCAGAGTCAGAGTCGGAGGACTTCCGAACAGCAACTCCACCATTGCGTTTCGCACGGTGGAGGGCTATGGCACGTTTCATTCCCCAAAATTTATGGGGAATTTCACTGACCATCTGCAATTGTAGGTAGCCTTCATGTACGATTGGCTTTGGATTTTTGTCATCATTATTGAATCTACGAGTTTTATCATATGTTAATTCTTTATGATATTTAACATCCAGCCCAGCTGGGCAAGGAATGGTCATGGCTATGACATGGCTGTGAGCCACCTGTACACAATCCATACTTTAGCAGGGATGCCCTCGGTACCATGATAAATTCCAACATATGTAACGTTGAAAAACCGACAAATACCTGGTTTTGAGGACTAACGGAAAAGTATACCCGTATGACCATACTTATCCGATTTTGAGCTATTTGCCTACTTGGATCCTCAGGGAATGGCCATCATGAAATGGGAATACCACAATTTATGGCCATTTGATTAACCAGTTAATTATTGAAAAACATAACCTTCAACACAGAGCGGCTTCTCCACGATTCTCGGTCGCCACCAAGCAACCCAAGAAGTACACCACAGACCCAAACGATCAGCGTATCCAATACGTGCTGACGTCGGATCAGCGTTCAGAGCGCGAAAAGGTCGGAAAAACCACAATGGATATATGGCTATGGCTCCAATACCTACCCTCTGGTAAACTAACATAACTATAGAAAATCCATGATAAATGGATGTTGATAGCTGGGAAAATAATCTGTAAATGGGCCATTTTCTATAGCGATGTGAAGTAACCAGAGGGTCTATTTTTTAAGGATCATCCATGAATCCCAACTATTTTGATAGGGGGATGTTCACCAGGGGTAGGTTGACAAAACCCATCCCCATATCATTCTGAAACTAATTCCTGGTTGGTGGTTGACCTACCCCTCTGAAAAATATGAGTTCGTCAGTTGGGATGATGTCTGGAAATGCGGTATACCCCCAATTATAGCCATTTAGTAGGGATAATGATCATTAACCATTGGGTGTAGGGGTACACTATTTACAGACAAACCCATATGGAAAAATAAGAAATGTTCCAAACCACCAAGCAGTAATTGACTCACCTAATAAGGGAGGGTCTCATCGATAGCGAAGTTACTTACAACTCCTGTTGTGAAAGAAATCTGGCGGCTTCTGGCTGGGGAACATATAAACTATATAACGAGATACAACTATGGTTTATGGTAGAATTAACTATGGTTTATGGTAGATGTAACGAACCAGTATCATAACAAATCATATCTGAAACGTATCAAAATCATTAAACAAAAATATTTTGAAAAAGTTTCATCCTAGAGACTTCGCATGTTATAAAACCAGTATTCATGGGGTTTACAAACCAACATTCACATAACTGGGGGGGCAACATCCTGTAGGATACAGCGGGAGTTCACCAACAGTGGGAACATGGGACAACGGATACAAAATGCTGCCCGATAGTTAGCTAAGTTGATGAACATAACTCCACAGTTATGGCCGTTTATGAGTTATAACTGGTTATAAATGGAGTTATACACTCTATAAATGGGGCTATAAGTACTTATAACTGGTAAAGGGCCATAACTGCAATAACTATATGGTTTATTATACTTATAACATCTTATAACTATAGTTAATGTGGTTTATAAACCAACTTATAACTGGGGGACATCACCTTGCAAGATTTGCTTCAATGGGCTGAACAATCAGGAAACTAAAACCATTTCTGGCTGGGTATAAGGCCATTGTGCTCAGGTATCATTCGTCACCACAGGTTTTTTCGAACCCCAAATAATCATAAAGATCTACCGTAATACTACCTATCAAATCTATAATTATATCACTATAATCTGGCTAAATTCTATCTAAAATCATGAAAACATAATTGCTCACCTGAAATAACGATAATATTGAATTTCATGACCATATTTTCTGGTGAATACTAATTCACTCACCTGAAAATAACGTTTTTTTTCCATTTGGGGATAATCCCCACACTAGCATTCCAGTGATGGTGACGGCACGACGTGAGGTCATGAAACGACCCATCCCCAGATTCAGATTGTCTGAAAATATCGTGGCACCTAAATCCTCCGATCTATCGGAATCGAAAAAATCATTTTCACATTGATACACCTATATCATTTCTGTCAATAATTTTCAATTTATGGATAAAAATGGGATATGCGATACTTCAATTTATGGCCATGTTCGTTCATTTTCCACAATGGCCGGAAAAAAAGTATCCCATATCCCCCTGGAACCAGGCGATACAATTGGGGGCGAAACCTGTTGTGTGGCATGGGAAAAACCATCAAAAATCAGGACCATTGGATTCAGGGTTTTCCGTGTTTTCCCCCAAATATATCCAAATATCATGGCCAATCTTACCAACAATAGATATAATATGTGTATATATATATATAATATGGGGATACTTAATGGCTACTATTATAGGTTAATAATGGTGAATAGTTATCATGGCCAATCAGCAAGATACCCTGCAACTAAATAAAAATCTTCTCTGGTGAACGTAGATAATCCCATTGATACCAAAAGACTAGTTAGGATTAGTCACTACCCATCCAAGATTGACCTAGATATCTGATTGTTGGAACTATTGATATCTAGTACTAGCAATATCAGTGTTAAACTACAAGTGCTCAGAGGGATATGATGGGGATATCATGATGTGTGTACTTGTTAAACCTCCATTTCATGGAAAGCGAGTTATCGGGTAAAGGTCCAGTCATGGTGATGACATGTTGTCATACTGATAGGGCTGATAGGGGTAGAGCTATGACCCCTATCAAAACAGCTAGAAGTCAAGTCAGCCCATAGATTGGAATGATAAGCCCATAAGAATAAGAAATTATAACCCATTTATAACCAGTACAGTAAGTGGTATTTAGTGGTTATTTTTTGTGGTTATTTACTACAATGTGGTGCCCCCCAGTGATGTTTGTTGGTTTATAAACCCCATGAAAATTGGTTCGTTATTTGCGTATCATAAACCATAGTGACATTGGACTTATGTTCACCAACTTAGCTATCGTAAACGAAGCCCCACATTGTAGGATATAACCTGGATGCCATCCCAAAGGCTGAAACTCTTTGAAAACCTGCCAAAAAAGGTGGCCAGCGGGATATTTAAATTACCATCCGTTATATATATATACATATACATAATTAAATATATAATCATAATATAGTCATATGTATTTGTGTATAGTATGTATATATGGGGGTTGTCCTAAATTATTGTTCCCATAAAGGCCTCTTGGGCCGAGCTTGCGCCAACCTTGCGCGTTTCTTGCGCGACCACACTCCCGGATCACTTTCATCATTTCAGTTGTTTTTCATCATTATTCTCGTACTTGTTTTCGAATGTTAAATACTTAGTATTCACTTAGTATTTCGTACTGGGAAGTAGTTTGTGCAAGCTTTGTAGTTCACAGTAGTACTAGGAAGTAGTTTGTGCAAGCTTTGTAGTACAAAGTAGTACTGGGAAGTAGTTTGTGCAAGCTTTGTAGTGCAAAGTAGTACTGGGAAGTAGTTTGTGCAAGCTTTGTAGTATACAGTAGTACTGGGAAGTAGTTTGTGCAAGCCATGCAGTACAAAGTAGTACTGGGAAGTAGTTTGTGCAAGCTTTGTAGTGCAAAGTAGTACTGGGAAGTAGTTTGTGCAAGCTTTGTAGTACACAGTAGTATTGGGAAGTAGTTTGTGCAAGCTTTGTAGTGCAAAGTCGTACTGGGAAGTAGTTTGTGCAAGCTTTGTAGTACACAGTAGTACTGGGAAGTAGTTTGTGCAAGCAATGCAATACAGAGTAGTACTGGGAAGTAGTTTGTGCAAGCTTTGCAAAGTAGTACTGGGAAGTAGTTTGTGCAAGCTTTGTAGTACACAGTCATACTGGGAAGTAGTTTGTGCAAGCTTTGTAGTACAAAGTAGTACTGGGAAGTGCTTTGTGCAAGCTTTGTAGTACACAGTAGTACTGGGAAGTGCTTTGTGCAAGCTTTGTAGTACACAGTAGTACTGGGAAGTGCTTTGTGCAAGCTTTGTAGTACACAGTAGTACTGGGAAGTGGTTTGTGCAAGCTTTGCAGTACACAGTAGTACTGGGAAGTCGTTTGTGCAAGCTTTGTAGTACAAAGTAGTACTGGGAAGTAGTTTGTGCAAGCTTTGTAGTGCAAAGTAGTACTGGGAAGTAGTTTGTGCAAGCTTTGTAGTACACAGTAGTACTGGGAAGTAATTTGTGCAAGCTTGTAGTACAAAGTAGTACTGGGAAGTGTTTGTGCAAGCTTTGTAGTACAAAGTAGTACTGGGAAGTAGTTTGTGCGAAGTACTTTGTGCAAGCTTTGTAGTACACAGTAGTACTGGGAAGTGCTTTGTGCAAGCTTTGTAGTACACAGTAGTACTGGGAAGTGCTTTGTGCAAGCTTTGTAGTACACAGTAGTACTGGGAAGTGCTTTGTGCAAGCTTTGTAGTACACAGTAGTACTGGGAAGTGCTTTGTGCAAGCTTTGTAGTACACAGTAGTACTGGGAAGTAGTACTGGGAAGTAGCTCTGCACGTGTTGAACTTCTGTGGTTTCAGAGCGGTTTCAGAGTGGTTTCAGACCCCTTCGGGGGGTCTAGCTGACCTTGATGAAAAGAACAATTTACAGACAGAAAAGACTTGAACACAACATACAAGGAAATACATTTAAAGAGCAGATAGATAGATAGATAGATTAGATTAGATTAGATTAGATTAGATTAGAATAGATTAGAATAGATAGATAGATAGATAGAGATAAAGCAGCCAACGCGGTCCGGAAGACATGCAGCAGCAGCCCGGAGATGGTGAGCAGGAAGGTGTTTCAGAGTGGTTTCAGACCTCTTTTGGGCTTGTTTTTTGGGTACCCCCAGCTTTGGGAGATGAAAAAAGAAAGAGAAAAGGTAGAGAAAGAGAGAGAGAGAGACAGAGAGAGGAAGAGGGAAAGAGAGAGAGAGAGAGAGAGGAAGATGGAAGATGGAGACAAACAGAAGGCGAGAGAGAGAGAGAGAGACAGAGAGAGGAAGAGGGAGAGGAGAGAGAGAGCGTTGTAAATGGTGAGCAGCGGGGTGTTTCAGAGTGGTTTCAGACCTCTTTTTTGTCCGTAGGCTACCTCAGCTTTGGAGAAAAAACAGGAAAAAACGGGAAAAGAAAGAAGAGAAGGGAGAAAGAGACAGAGAGAAAGAAGAAGTCTTGAGACGGTGAGCAGGAAGATGTGTCGAACTGGTTTCAGACGTCTTTTGGGGCCGGTTATGGGGCTACCTAGTTCTTAAGACATCCAAAAGAAGGGGCTCAAAACAGATTGTACTTGAAACACATGCGGTCCGGAAAGACGTGCAACGGTCCGGAAAAGCAAGCACCCAAAACGTACTCTAATCGTAGCGATTGCGGTCCGGAAAGGCATGCAGCGGTCCGGAAAAGCAAGCACCCAAAACGCTCTCTAATTGTAGAATTGTAGACATTGCGGTCCGGAAAGATGAGCAGCGGTCCGGAAAAGCAAGCACTCAAAAAGTACTCTAATTGTAGCCATTGTGGTCCGGAAAGACATGCAGCGGTCCGGAAAAGCAAGCACCCAAAACGTACTCTAATTGTAGCCATTGTGGTCTGGAAAGACATGCAGCGGTCCGGAAAAGCAAGCACCCAAAACGTACTCTAATTGTAGACCGAAAGACATGCAGCGGTCCGGAAAAGCAAGCACCCAAAACGTACTCTAATTGTAGCCATTGTGGTCCGGAAAGACCTGCAGCGGTCCGGAAAAGCAAGCACCCAAAACGTACTCTAATTGTAGCCATTGTGGTCCGGAAAGACATGCAGCGGTCCGGAAAAGGAAGCACCCAAAAAGTACTCTAATTGTAGCCATTGTGGTCCGGAAAGACCTGCAGCGGTCCGGAAAAGCAAGCACCCAAAAAGTACTCTAATGCAGCGGTCCGGAAAAGCAAGCACCCAAAACGTACTCTAATTGTAGACATTACGGTCCGAAAGACATGCAGCGGTCCGGAAAAGCAAGCACCCAAAACGTACTCATTGTAGCCATTGTGGTCCGGAAAGACCTGCAGCGGTCCTGAAAAGCAAGCACCCAAAAAGTATTCTAATTGTAGACATTAGGACCGCTGCAGGTCTTTCCGGACCACAATGGCTACAATTAGAGTACGTTTTGGGTGCTTGCTTTGTCTCTGTCTCTTTCTCCCTTCTCTTCTTTCTTTTCCCGTTCTTTCCTGTTTTTTCTCCAAAGCTGAGGTAGCCTAAGGACAAAAAGAGGTCTGAAACCACTCTGAAACACCCGCTGCTCACCATTTACAACGCTCTCTCTCTCCTCTCCCTCTTCCTCTCTCTGTCTCTCTGTCTCTCTCTCTCTCTCGCCTTCTGTTTGTCTCCATCTCTGTCTCGTGCTATCCTCTTTTCCCAACCACTGCATGTCTTTCCGGACCGTAATGTCTTAGGTGCTTACTTTTCCGGACCGCTGCACGTCTTTCCGGACCGCGATATCTACAATTAGAGTACTTTTTGGGTGCTTGCTTTTCCGGACCGCTACAAATCTTTCCGGACCACAATGGCTACAATTAGAGTACGTTTTGGGTGCTTGCTTTTCCGGACCGCTGCATGTCTTTCCGGACCGTAATGTCTACAATAAGAGTACGTTTTGGGTGCTTGCTTTTCCGGACCGCTGCAGGTCTTTCCGGACCACAATGTGTACAATTAGAGTACGTTTTGGGTGCTTGCTTTTCCGGACCGCTGCAGGTCTTTCCGGACCGCAATATCTACATTAGAGTACGTTTTGGGTGCTTGCTGTTCCGGACCGCTGCATGTCTTTCCGGACCGCGAAATCTACAATTAGAGTACTTTTTGGGTGCTTGCTTTTCCGGACCGCTGCAGGTCTTTCCGGACCACAATGGCTACAATTAGAATACTTTTTGGGTGCTTGCTTTTCCGGACCGCTGCAGGTCTTTCCGGACCACAATGGCTACAATTAGAGTACATTTTGCGTGCTTGCTTTTCCGGACCGCTGCTCATCTTTCCGGACCGCAATGTCTACAATTAGATTGCGTTTTGGATGCTTGCTTTTCCGGACCGCTGCATGCCTTTCCGGACCGCAATCGCTACGATTAGATTACGTTTTGGGTGCTTGCTTTTCCGGACCGTTGCACGTCTTTCCGGACCGCATGTGTTTCAAGTACAATCTGTTTTGAGTCCCTTCTTTTGGATGTCTTAAGAACTAGGTAGCCCCATAACCGGCCCCAAAAGAGGTCTGAAACCAGTTCGACACATCTTCCTGCTCACCGTCTCAAGACTTCTTCTTTCTCTCTGTCTCTTTCTCCCTTCTCTTCTTTCTTTTCCCGTTTTTTCCTGTTTTTTCTCCAAAGCTGAGGTAGCCTACGGACAAAAAGAGGTCTGAAACCACTCTGAAACACCCCGCTGCTCACCATTTACAACGCTCTCTCTCTCTCCTCTCCCTCTTCCTCTCTCTGTCTCTCTCTCTCTCTCTCGCCTTCTGTTTGTCTCCATCTTCCATCTTCCTCTCTCTCTCTCTCTATCTCTCTCTCTCTCTCTCTCTCTTTCCCTCTTCCTCTCTCTGTCTCTCTCTCTCTCTCTCTCTTTTTTTCTACCTTTTCTCTTTCTTTTTTCATCTCCCAAAGCTGGGGGTACCCAAAAAACAAGCCCAAAAGAGGTCTGAAACCACTCTGAAACACCTTCCTGCTCATCTCCGGACTGCTGCTGCATGGCGTTGGCTGCTTTATCTCTATCTATCTATCTATTTATCTATCTACCTATCTGCTCCTTTTTCTTTGGATGGCCTATTTACCACCCTGGTTATCTATGTTTATCAACTCGAGATATTAATATTTAAGATCTAAATCAGATACGGTGGTAGTAGTAGTAGTAGTTGTTGTTGTTGTAGTAGTTGTAGTAGTAGTAGTAATAGTAGTGGTAATGTAGTTGTAGTTGTTGTAGTAGTAGTAGTAGTGGTAGTGGTAGTAGTAGTAGTAGTAGTCGTCGTCGTCGTCGTGGTAGTAGTAGTAATCAAAATGTTAATGAAAAATAGTACTTGTAATAATGATAACAATAGTACTTGCGCGTACCTTGGGCCGCCCTTGCGCGAAACTTGCGCGATGCAGGTTTTAGACCATGGGAAAAATGCGAGAATAGGTCCTTTACTAAAAACCTTTCTGGGGTTTTTGGACGGCTCCCATATATATACATACATACATACATACATACATATCATAGTATACAGTTATATCACAGCTATGTTATATCTATAATCTGGGGTTGAATTACCTATTAGAAAATGTGATTTTCCGTAGTGATCTTAGCCTACCAAAGGGGACATATATAGATAATTAATATAGATACATTTCCATTAATATAGATGAGTTATGGTGATTTCCATACTACCAGAGTTGTGATTTTCATTTCAACAAATAGATACACCGTGTTGAAAAAGACAACATACACCTGAGCCATTAAAAATACCCCTATCCCATCTCATTCTACTAGTTGGTTGAAAACGGTTTCCCTATGGGTTATCATGATCCCCAGTACACCAGGTAGTATAATCCACTATAGCAATCAATTAACCAGGGTATTTTTAATGGCTCACCGTGATGCGCTCCGGGAGTCCTATTGGCGCCTCAGCCTTCAACGGCAGGAAGTATTTCTTGCCATCCTTCGCCACACCTTGGGACCAGGCGCAGGTCCACGGGATCGGTTCTGGATGGCGATTCGCATTTTTTTAGCAAAGTTCATGGTGACTTATCCACTGGAAAAACATAGGAAAACCATAGGAAAACCATAGGAAAATGGAGGTTTACCCTCTGGTAAATTATAACATAACTATGGAAAGATGCACCATTTTTAATGGGAAAATCCACTATTTCTATGGCCATTTTCAATAGCAAACTGTTAGTTTACCAGAGGGTATCCACTAAATAATTTGGTAATTTATCAACTATGGCACGATGGTTTGTTCACCAACTTCGCTAACTAACATAGCCATAGTCTAATAGTTGATAAATTACTATGATTAATCACTATGATAACCATAGTTGTTCACCAACTTAGATAACCATTTGGTTAGTCAACTATGATTTAATCACTAACATAACTCCACTCATATCATGGTGATTTAACCACCAAAGGATGGGGATTTACATGTGATCTTGTGATACTCAATTCGTGAACATAGCTAGCTTGACTATGGTTTATGGTAGATACATCTAGAGTTACATTGCCAATCTTAAATACCCTGCAAAAGAAACTAAGGTGGTCAGTAGATATTCCTATTTGCAGCAAAAGATTCTGGTTGGTGGTATACCTACCCCTCTGAAAAATATGAGTTCGTCAGTTGGGATCATGACATTCCCAATTTATGGAAATTCATAAAAGCCATGTTCCAAACCACCAATCAGTTACTAATCATTCACCATTATTAAGCAGTATTAACCATTCATAATCCCTATAGCCCCATATGATTCAGGATTCATCCCTGCCCATCCAGTTGACCATCCGGTTCTTCGGGATGTCAATCCTACAGCAGGATTCCTTAGATTCCATATCAATGGCCATGCAACAAGAACCGATTGATTGGAGGTACCGATTCCATATATTTTAGGCCTATTTTTCAGGCCTATTTTTCAGGGGATATACCCCCAATTCAAATGGCCACAAATATGGTACTAACGTACCTCCATCAATTGGATCCTGGAATTCCCATTGACAATTGACCATACTCTCCCTTGTTAAACGGACGTCTCTGTTCTAAGCAGGACGTCAACGATGTCAACATCATGATCAGCATGATCATCTGCCCTACTGATGGCGTCACTTCGACGTATCTCAGGACGGGCACTGGCTGAAGAGCCTCTCCACCAGAAATCCAGATGGAAACAAGAAAACCCTGAGATTGGACATTGTCAAATCCTCTTCAAAATGTATTCATACACCCAAAAAAATATGGGTGCTTAAATAACGTCTACCAAAAAGAACAGGAGTTCTCATCATTGCAACATCAACATTGCCATATACTGAGATTTGTTTTGGGGTTATATACTCGAACACATCTTATATGGATGGTTGTATACCGTTAATATCCATCCATATAAGATGTCAACTTAGCTCTACAACAAATCCATCCAAGCTGGGCCGTTTCTGTGATATGATCAGTTGATTTTAAACCCCCATGATCTATACCCTCTGGTAACGACTAACATAGCTATTGAAAATGGCGTTTTATAGTTGATTTACCAATAAAAATTGTGAATTTCCATAGTTGTTAATTTACCATGATCTATAGATGTATCTGTATCTACCATAAACCATTGTAACTCTGGTTGGTGGTTTCAGTCCCTCTGAAAAATAGGAGTTCGACAGTTGGGATGATTATTCCCAATATATTGAAAAATAAAAAATGTTCCAAACCACCAACCAGTAAACCATTGTAACTAGTTAGGTTCATCAACTTGGTGTAAGATGACATGTAAATACCCCATTCTTTGGCGCTGAAAAATCACCACAAATTCCCACTTGTCATGGGTCAATCCCGACATATTCCCGCATATCGTCGATAGCGCCGATTACCGAGCTACGAAGGCACCATTCAACCAAGAAGGCAAAAACAAAGAGCTGATTCATCACTTCGTAGAAGACCTGGCACATACGGGAAAGTACTTTTTGTGTGTTTTCGATCCTAAAAAATGTGCTAAAGAACTTGGTGTTCATAGTGAATCTTAACAGTCTTAGATACCTGCCAAAAAAAATCATTGTTCGCTGGTGAACGATGCGATTTTACCGTTGATAGCAAAAGACTGAGGTATTTCGTATTGAATGAAGGTTGACCGAAATTTTCATCAAAAATTCATCGTTTCCTCATGGCAAACAGCACAAGTCAAGTTTTGTCCATGTGCGTCAAGTTTACATGTAATTTTACATGGAAAATGATGAGTTAAATGGAGTTAACATGATTTAACCATCAGCACTAGTGATCCAGCAACACTAGTGATTTTCTGTGGATTTTTTTCTGTGGATTATGAAGAGTTCATTGGGAAAACCTATGCCGTGGATCGTAGAAATGTGCACCCACGTGGCACCGAAGTTAAATGCTTCGTCATGGTTAGTTCACTTTCATGAAAACCATCATGAAAATCATCAGAAAAACCTACTTCAGTGGATTCAACATGATGAAGCCTACTTCTCCCAACAAAACGCACGCCATCGCGCGCCTTGGTGCCGTCCTTGGACTGGAGCCGATGATTCCAATGGGGGGTTGGGCCAGTTCGTTCGCTAAAAGTTGGGTTATACCTTCATAATATAAGTAGGATTTGTGGTGGATCCATATATATATATATATAAATGTATGTATGCATGTATGTATGTATGTATGAATGTATGTACGTATGTACGTACGTACGTACGTACGTATGTATGTATGTATGTATGTATGTATGTATGTATGTATGTATGTATGTATGTATGTATGTATGTATGTATGTCGAGGTTTACTTAAAAATGGTGGATCCCCATTCGTCACCATTGGTTTCAACAGCAAAATGCTCGGATAGGACTTGGATAGGACTTGGATGATTGGATGAGGAAGCTCTATATCTGTAGACTTATTGGATGGGGAAACCCATTTTCAAATTACAACTTATTGGATGGTGATATGATGGGGACTGTGGGGGTAGATGTGGACATGGCTGACATGGCTAAAATAAGTGCTTTGTTTCTGGCGCGCACACACAAAACACAAAACTCTGGTATTCAAATATAGGGCTTTCTTAAAATGGAGCTACCCCAAGTCACCATGGCTTTCAATACTAAAGTGGTCTAATGATTGATGATCTGGAGGCTGGAGGTGCTCCCATTTTAGGAAGCCTCCATATTGACTTACATGGGACGAACGGTGCATGGTCATCCCACAATCATGAGGGAATTATTCGAATGAGTATATTGACTCCTGGATGACCATCCACCATAATCTTAATATGACGAATGGTTCATGAATGGGTATATAACGGTATATATATAATCCTTATGATTTTATGTAATGGGTATATAAATCCCTTTTCATGGATTCATGACCATCCTCTTTGATAGGAAAATAACCCATGTCTTTGACCATAGCACACACGAGAGCATCCCGGTCAGTGCCAACCATCAGTGATGGTCCTATTGAGGAGTTCCACCAAAGCAGGTGTATAAAAAAAAACACATGGGATGTAAAATCAACACTTGGACACAACTAACCAAGAAACATGCTTGAAAGGGACATGTCACCAACACCAGTTGATAGCAAGCTGTTTTGAGAGATCTTTCAATCCTGTACAATGGAACATGTGGAACATGCTGGAATCTGGGTGCTGTGTTTTCAACAAGTGCCTAGCCCAGATCTGATTCTTTCAGACACAATTTTGCATCGACCTCATGTGTGCGCGAAAACGTCAGAACATTGTTTTTGGTGGTAAAACATGATCCTCCGTCCCAAAGGAATCCTTAAAGTGGACATATAAATAAAACATAATATAATATATATATAAATGTATATATATATACATGGGCCATTAAATGTCCCCATTGAACATCACCCAACCATTAGGTATATGGTCTATAATGGCTACTATAAGGTGATGTCCAATATTCCCAAAATGGGACAGTTACCAACCCCTGATATATGTGGTGGGTGGTTTCAACCTATCTGAAAAATATGAGTTTGTCAGTTGGGATTATTATTCTCAACTGAATGGAAAAAATATAAATCTTCCAAACCACCAAACAGATCTACTTACTTGATGGACTGATGTCTTCATGACCAATCTTTCATAGTGAACAAAAAACAACATCTGTTGCTGGTTGTGGTTGTGGTCCATGTTTTTCGCAACCAAAAAAAATACTTTACTTCGTGTGATCCCCACCATGACATTTATACATTTTCTTACTGGCAAATCTTCTGGCATTCTATCTGACATATCTTCTGACATTCTATTTGGCATTCTATCTGGCATATCTTCTGGCATATGATTTTGCATATCTTCTGGCATATCTTCTGGCATTCTATCTGGCAAATCTTCTGGCATTCTATCTGGCATATCTTCTGGCACTCTATCTGACATATCTTCTGGCATTCAATCTGGCATTCTATCTGGCATATCTTCTGGCATATATTCTGACATATCTTCTGGCATTCTATCTGACATATTTTCTGGCATATATTCTGACATATCTTCTGGCATATCTTCTGGCATATCTTCTGGCATATCTTCTGACATATCTATCTGGCATATCTTCTGGCATATTTTCTGGCATTCTATCTGGCAAATCTTCTGGCATTCTATCTGGCATTCTATCTGGCATATCTTCTGGCATATTATCTGGCATTCTCTCTGGCATATCTTCTGGCATATCTTCTGACATTCTTTCTGACATTCTTTCTAACTTTCTTCTGCACATTCTTTGTCCCATATCTTCCTACATGAGGTCCGGCAGGGAACACTTGGCGTGGATACTCTCGGTTGAGGTCCGGCAGGGAACACTGGGCGTGGATGGTCGTGGTTGAGGTCCGGCAGGGAACACTGGGCGAGGATGGTCGTGGTTGAGGTCCGGCAGGGAACATTGGGCGTGGATGGTCGTGGTTGAGGTCCGGCAGGGAACACTGGGCGGGGATGGTCGTGGTTGAGGTCCGGCAGAGAACACTGTGGATCGCGGGTCGCAGTTGAGCAAGGACGACGAGGACGACGAGGAGGACGAGGAGGAGGAGGAGAGGAGGACGAGGCAGGAGGAGGACGAGGCAGGAGGAGGAGAAGGAGGAGGAGAAGGAGGAGGAGGAGGAGGCAACTGACATAAAATCTAACAACCCTCACCTGGCAGGTGGGGAACTAAAGGATGTCAACCGTCCAGTTGGTTGGGGATGTCCACAACATACCAATGTGGGGCCCACAAACGCTATGTTTGTTGGTGAACAAAAAACCCTATGAATACTATCGTTATAAGTATCATAAACCATTGTGAAATTGGAGCTATCAACCAACTTAGCTATCGTTTGGGGGGCACCACATTGTATAACTGTGAAATTGTATGTTTCATGATGAGTTAAATCATATGAATGCCCCATGTTTCAGCAGTATTGTTCTCCTTTGTATATCAATGTATATATCATTGTATAACCCCAGTTATAAGTTGGTTTATAAGCCCCATTAACTAGTTCGTTATATCTACCATAAACCATAGAATTCAGCCACTTATCCATATCTCAACTGAAAGTTTTGTGCTCCGGGGGCAAAAAATCATGTACCCTCTGGTAATTTAACATAGCTATTGAAAATGGCAATTTATAGTTGATTTACCCATCTCAACTGAACGCACGCTATCTGAAGGGGGCCCCAGATTGTATAACCCAATGTGGGGCCCTAGAACCGTCTCCAACATCACCAGGTGACTTGGCATGTGAAGCAAGCCGCATCAGCACCTGGTGATGCGAAAAATGAGGTCCGATGAAACATGATAAGAAAAACCCATGGGAAAATGGAGGAAAAGGCTGATGTAACTTCTCAAAATGCCATTTTTGATGTGATTTATAAATTGGGGAAATTCCACAGGAAACCATCGGTTTTTGGCACCAATTATATGTGTTTCCTGTAGATTTCCCCAGACCAATCTCACATTGAACTGGTTGGTGGTAAACCTAGCCCTCTGAAAAATGATGGAGTTCGTCAGATTGGATCATCATCCCAACTATTGGGGAAAATATCATTCATTTTCCAAACCACCAACCAGTTGAACCTTATGCTTTCTGGCCACGCCGAATATCGTGTGACGTTTCGCAGCCGTTTCCCATCTGTCAGAAAGGCCCTGTCCCCCGTAAAATCACGCTGAAAGGAAGCCGACTGAGCGCATGGCCAAGAAAGAACATACAAAGGATGATGGACATCATGCTGCACGCCTCAACATCCAACGTCTGTGCACCCGCCATGAGTGTCAAATTTTCACTGCTATGGTTGAAGGCATTAGAATCGAAGCAGTAAGTAAACCCAATGCCAATGACGCCGACCGGAAATGGGGACGTGTCAAAACCCATGCTTGCCATATTTTGGGGGAATAACCATCCATTCACCATCTGCTATTTTTGGGTACCTATGGGTACCTAAGGTACCAGGTTTTTCACCATTTTTCACCCATCACCAAATGGCTGGCTATTACCCATCAACAAATGGTGATTTATTGGATCATCAACAGTACAAGAAAATTACTTCACTTCGAGTTATCCCCACCATGACATCTATACGTTTTGTTACTGGCAAATCTTCTGGCATTCTATCTGACATATCTTCTGGCATTCTTTCTGACATTCTATCTGGCGTTCTATCTGGCATATCTTCTGGCATTCTATCTGGCCGTTGATGTCCAGCGGTGCTCACTGAGCTCGGAGGGTCCCAGGTTGAGGTCCAGCGCTGCTCACTGAGCTCGGAGGGTCCCAGGTTGAGGTCCAGCGGTGCTCACTGAGCTCGGAAGGTCCCAGGTTGAGGTCCAGCGGTGCCCAGTGCGCTCAGACCTTTGCAGTTGAGGTCCAGCAGTGCCCACTGCGTGCGGAAGTTGGCGAAGAGCTTGGCGAAGAGTTGGCAAGGCGGAAGTGAACATGGAAGTGGAGGCAGAGGTGGTGGAGAAGAAGGAGGAGGAGAAGAAGGAGAAGGAGAAGGAAGAGGAGGAGGAGAAGAACAACTCTGATAAAATCTAACAACCCTCACCTGGCAGGTGGAGAAAAAACAAAAAAGTGGGTGGTGTCCGTATGGTAAGTATCCCTGGGCCCGTAAAGGTCACACCAACCTTTCTTTTTCGAGATCTCTGTCGAAAGGAAGTCTTTTTGCGTCTCACATGGGCACCTGAGTGTTTGGCAGCGGAAGGCTGACGTGGCTGCTTTTTTGGTTGTACGTTCCGTTGCGGAACCCAAAGAAGCTTTTCCTCCACCAAGGCCAAATCGGTATCAATGGTGTAAACTAGTAACTCCAGCTTGGTAAGGCGTGAAGCGGTAGTTTGCAGAGCTTCAGCGATGGTTGCAAGCCGCTGTTGTAGCCAGGAGATCACTTCTTGGGTCTGTGTCACAAAGTAACGAACCTGAAAGTCAAGCGTCTGCAAAAATTTGTAGATGCGTTGACAGCTTTGCTTGGCGGATCCAAAACTTTCCAAGCAAGATGGGACTTGAATCGTTGGCGAAATGAATCCTGCAAATGGCTTGGCAGCATTGTGACCTGTACTGCAGTTGCGATTGTGTTGAACCACGTCCAAGCAGCATTTTCCGCATGACCAAAAGAGGTCTTGCCAAGTCGGCCCAGTGGGAAAATGACATCTGATGTCTCTACGCCTTAAATCTACTATGTTTTATGACTTGAATCACCACGTTTATGCATTCCAGAAATTGAATGCCTAAACTAGTCTAATGTTCTAATGTCTTGCTGAAGCTCCCTATTTTTCTCTGCGAAATCACAAGTCTGTGCTGCTTAAATCCCAATCTCACCATTTTTCGTTGCTGCTGGTTTCCTACAATGTGGTGCCCCCCAGTTATAAGTTGGTTTATAAACCCATGAATACTATAGTTATAAGTATAATAAGCCATAGTTATTGGACTTATAAACCAACTTAGCTATCGTTTGGGGGCCCCACATTGTAGTGAATGATCGTTGCTTCACTTCGATTCGACTCAGCAAATCCAAGACCACCCTTTAACCATCATAGATGATTAAGCACTATCAAAGATTAATGAGACAATTAAGAGAAATATTCATCATAATGTAAGGATAACCATTACGTGATGCTGATATATTAAATAGAACCATATATATATACAAAAAAGTCCATTGATTCGATAACCAACATTGATGTTTCACCACTAATTTATCCCACTACTATATATCCCATGATTAGCCATTCCTATTCATGGCCAATCTTAGATACCCTGCAAAAAAATAAAATCTTAGCTGGTGAACGTAGATAAATCCCATTGATACCAAGAGACTAGTTAGGATTTGTCACTACCCATCCAAGATTGACCTAGTAATGCCCCCCACAGTTATAAGTTGGTTCATAATAACCCCATTAATTAGTTTATCACCATACACCATAGTGAAATTGGAGTTATTTATAAACCAACTTAGTTATCGTAAACGGGGGCTATATATAGATTTCCCATGATTTCCCTATAGATTTTCAAGAAACTCCAGCTTCAAGCAGCCACCTCGAAGCCATTGCTGTTGACCAGCCGCTGCAGCAGGGGCCTTTCGAGATTCTCAGCAGCCTCACAGCATCGGAGCCCAGCTGACATGAGTGGCTGGGATCTACCGTTGGTTGATGATTCTAAGGGATGGGTATATAATTCAGCAGATTGGGGATTCTCACTATTCATTATGGGAATATAAACAACCAGTTGATGATGATAGTGCTTTAATGGGGGTTTAATCATCTTTTTAAAGGTGTTTAGCTATTTTACCATGAACTGATAAATGATGGTTGGTTGATAACTATATAATTCGAAGAGTATACCAATCCAGTATATTGGCAATTATGACTATCCATGTATTGGGAATCCTTATTAACCAACCAGGATAATGAAACGGCAAGGGTTTCGAGCACTGCTCATATGGCCCAGCTGTCGTGGCGAATTTCTCTGGCTCATTCTGGCTGTTCAACCAAACTTGGGATCCTCCTTAGATCGAGCTTGCCCAAGATCAGCGAAGTCAACGCTTACAGCAACCCCAAGAAAGAGGCCGATTTCAATGCTTAGGTTTGCCACTAATCTATCTATCTATCTATCTATCTATCTGGAGATGACTACAGAGAGCCATCAAAATGGCAACGATATGACTCGACCCCTTAATCGAGCGTTTGCCAAGGTTCACGCAGCAAGAATGGCTTGAGCAGAAAAACATGGGGATATTCACATCTATTCACCACGCATTTTGGCAAATTTGGGGATACACAATGTTACCAAATTTTACCAATCAATAATTTTCATAAGACGAAGCCCATAATCAGAATCTCCCAGCCGTAACAGCGATCCCACCTTTGGCTTCGATTGATCCGTCTCCTATTGGTGCATCACGACATCATGGAAAGTTCAGCAACAAACATGGGCATACTTTTGGTGGTTCCTGTGCTTCTCCATAGCGTTCAGTTGGGCTTCACAAGTTCACATCATTCCAATTTCACGGGAGGGTTGGTTTCTGAAGTAGATATATGTGGATGGGTCAAGTTAGCTATGAACTTACCAGCCATGACTGCGGGGTTAGTCTAAGTATCCGTTAACCAACTGACTGACTTTTTTTGGTTACCAGTGGTACCAGGGTTTTGATCCATAACTATATCTGACAAATGGGGGATGAACTGACAAATGGCAAGGAAAACTGACCCCACAACTAGCCTGGCATGGAGTTCTTGCAGTTCCCCAAGTCGAAGTAGATAAGTAGAGTCTGCAACAAACTACATCAAAATACTATAGATTGGATTGACATCAATGATTCTTGAACTGCTCCAAGCTTTGAAAAGCACCCTTCTGTTTCGATCTGGAGTCATATCCGATGTTCGTAATTTCACACCAGAGCACGTCAAGCAAGATGGTATGCCCCGCAACCCCCCTCAAGCCTGTTTACAGTTATGGCCGTTTATGAGTTATAACTGGTTATAAATGGGTTTATACACTCTATAAATGGGCTTATAAGTACTTATAACTGGTAAAGGGCCATAACTGTAGTTGTTTAATGTTTTTTAGTGGACAGCATTAGCCAAAGAAACACAGTGCTTGCTGGTTATATCCCACATGTATTTAGATTAACAGAAATTGACGACATACAAGCTGTTACAAGCAATGTTGGTCATTGTTGGTCATGGTTTAACCACTTGTTTAAAGACTTAACACAAATTAACCAATGTTTAACCACAGCCGTTGGTCATGCCCGTTGTGTTTCCAACGTTTCTCATGTCCCGATGACAAACATATTGGGCATGATGAAAATCATTGGGTGGGGATCATTACCTCATATTTAACGATAGTAAATCTGGAGTTATGGCCGTAAAAATGAGTTCTAATTGGTTATTTCTATGGGGTTATACACTCTATTTCTATGGGGTTAGTTCAGTACTAACTGGTATAACTCGGGCCACGTGGATTATAAACATTGGATGTTTCCATTCCAACAAAACAGAAATGAACATATGAACAATTACAACATATTGTCAATGGGATTTTCAGGATCCTAAAATGGAGGTACTGTACCATATAAGGCCATATTTTCTGGGGAAATTCCCTTACATAGGCCTTACATAGGCCTTATATATGGTAGGTACCTCCGATTTAGGTTCCTGAAATGGCCATTGATATTGTTGAATGTTTAGTATTGTATCTACTGAAGAGTATGACTATATAATCACATGGTCAATCTTTGCTAGTCAACAAAAAAATAAAAATGGTCAATCTGTGCTAGTCCACCAAAAAAACACATGTTGCTGTTTATGTTGTTTTTCATTTATAGCAAAACAACTATAGAAAACTGAAGGATTAGTGACAAAACACCTATCCAGTCGGGGATACTTTGCCGCCTCTGCTGTGCTCTCATCATCACCTGGGCTTCGCCCGTCTCAACCGAATCTTGGGTACCTTGAATGACTAGCCCGCTAGATTGAACGATGATTGAGGCAGTTTCCGCAAGATTCTATTCCGTATTCCATATATATACATATATCCGCCGACCCCGGCCGACCGCAAGGGGGAGCGCGTCAGGGAAGAGAGGTTGTGGACAACAAGAAATACAACAACGGGTCGGGGACCAGCAGCAGCAGCAAAAGCCTCTGCAGCAGCAGGAGGAAAAGGTAGCCAAAATTCATAGCAGCAGCAAGAGGAAAAAGCAACCAAAATCATCATTTTCTATGCGTTTTCGTTAGGCATTTATGGGGTGCAATTTTGGGTTTTCTCCGTCCTTCACTGCCATGGTGTTTTCCCATCCAGCAGCAGCCAGCAGCAGGCAGGAGCAGGCAGCAGCAGGCAGCAGCAGGAGCGGCAAAGTTTCAATTTTATAGTAGGGTTTCAGAAGTGACGTTAGGCCCTTTTTTGGGGTTCCATTGCTACGTTTTTGCTCTTTCGGATGTGTTTCGAAAAGGGTGTCTGGCTGTTTGTTTCTTGCTTTGGAGGCTGTTTGATTGCAGCAGCACCACAGCAGCACCACAGCAGCAGCAGGAGCAGCCACCAGTAGCAGCACCAGCAGCAGGCAGCAACAGGCAGCAAGCAGCTTCTGCCAGCAGCATGCAGCAGCAGGCAGCAGCAGGCAGCAGCAGGCAGCAGCAGGCAGCAGGCAGCAGCCAGCAGCAGCCAGCAGCAGCCAGAGCAGGCAGCAGGCAGCAGCAGGCAGCAGCAGGCAGCAGGCAGCAGCAGGCAGCGGCAGGCAGCGGCAAAGTTTCAATTTTATAGTAGGATTTCAGAAGTGACGTTAGGCCCTTTTTGGGGTTCTGCATTCAACGCTGCGGCACGCTTGCGGATGGCAGCTTGGACTGTGGCCACATGACATGCGTTGCAGACCCGTGTGCCATGTTGACCCCGGCCGACGCAAGGGGGAGCGCGCCAGGGAATAAGACATTTTCCGCCGACCATTTGGAAGCTTGCAACAGCAGCAGCAACAGCAGCAGCAGCAGCAGCAGCAGGCAGCAGCAGGCAGCAGTAGGCAGCAGCAGGCAGTCACAAAGCCATGCAGCTTGTACTTATAAGGGTAAGCAGCAGGCAGGCAGCAGCAGCAATATGATGTTTCGCAGTCCGGGGCCCGCGTTTTTGTAGTCTAGGATTCCCGAAGAGATTCCCTAGCATTTGGGATTCTCTAGGTAGCAGCCAGCAGCAGCGAGTAGCCAGCAGGGCCAGCAGTCAAGAAGCAGGTAGCAGGCAGCCAGTCGAAGCCTGATGCACAAAAAAAGAGAAATTTTTTCTAGGAATTCAGAAGGGACGTTAGGCAGTTTTTGTGGGTAAGTTTGAGCACGGTTTCGGCACGCAATTAGGTGCTGTTTTGCTGTGGCGAAGGGTCCCTTCTGGAAGCCTGATGCTTGCAGCTTGGAGCTACCAAACAAGAGCTGCAGGAGACAAATAAAGAGAGATTTTTTCTAGGCATTCAGAAGGGACGTTAGGCAGTTTTTGTGGGTAAGTTTGAGCACGGTTTCAGCACACAATTAGGTGCTGTTTTGCTGTGGCGAAGGGTTCCTTCTGGAAGCCTGATGCTTGCAGTTTGGAGCCACCAGACAACAGCTGCAGGAGACAAAAAAAGAGAAATTTTTTCTAGGAATTCAGAAGGGGCGTTAGGCAGTTTTTGTGGGTAAGTTTGAGCACGGTTTCGGCACGCAATTAGGTGCTGTTTTGCTGTGGCGAAGGGTTCCTTCTTGGAAGCCTGATGCTTGCAGCTTGGAGCCACCAAACAACAGCTGCAGGAGACAGAAAAAAAAAAATTCTAGGAATTCAGAAGGGGCGTTAGGCAGTTTTTGTGGGTAAGTTTGAGCACGGTTTCGGCACGCAATTAGGTGCTGTTTTGCTGTGGCGAAGGGTCATTTTTGTGGGTAAGTTTGAGCACGGTTTCGGCACGCAATTAGGTGCTGTTTTGCTGTGGCGAAGGGCCCCTTCTGGAAGCCTGATGCTTGCAGTTTGGAGCTACCAGACAACAGCTGCAGGAAACTAAAAAACAAAAAAAGATAGATTTTTTCTAGGAATTCAGAAGGGGCGTTAGGCAGTTTTTGTGGGTAAGTTTGAGCACGGTTTCGGCACGCAATTAGGTGCTGTTTTGCTGTGGCGAAGGGTTCCTTCTGGAAGCCTGATGCTTGCAGCTTGGAGCCACCAAACAACAGCTGCAGGAGACAGAAAAAGAATTTTTTTCTAGGAATTCAGAAGGGGCGTTAGGCAGTTTTTGTGGGTAAGTTTGAGCACGGTTTCGGCACACAATTAGGTGCTGTTTTGCTGTGGCGAAGGGTCCGTTCTGGAAGCCTGATGCTTGCAGCTTGGAGCCACCAAACAACAGCTGCAGGAGACAGAAAAGAGAATTTTTTCTAGGAATTCAGAAGCGACGTTAGGCAGTTTTTGTGGATAAGTTTGAGCACGGTTTCGGCACGCAATTAGGTGCTGTTTTGCTGTGGCGAAGGGTCCGTTCTGGAGGGCTGATGCTTGCAGCTTGGAGCCACCAAACAGCAGCTGCAGGAGACAGAAAAACAGATTTTCTCTAGGAATTCAGAAGGGACGTTAGGCAGTTTTTGTGGATAAGTTTGAGCACGGTTTCGGCACGCAATTAGGTGCTGTTTTGCTGTGGCGAAGGGTCCGTTCTGGAGGACTGATGCTTGCAGCTTGGCGCCACCAAACAAAAGCTGCAGGAGACAGAAAAAGACAGACATTTTTTCTAGGAATTCAGAAGGGGCGTTAGGCAGTTTTTGTGGATAAGTTTGAGCACGGTTTCGGCACGCAATTAGGTGCTGTTTTGCTGTGGCGAAAGGTTCCTTCTGGAAGCCTGATGTTTGCAGCTTGGAGCCACCAAACAACAGCTGCAGGAAACAAATAAAATAAAAAAGAGAAATTTTTTCTAGGAATTCAGAAGGGGCGTTAGGCAGTTTTTGTGGATAAGTTTGAGCACGGTTTCGGCACGCAATTAGGTGCTGTTTTGCTGTGGCAAAGGGTTCGTTCTGGAGGGCTGATGATTGCAGCTTGGAGCTACCAGACAACAGCTGCAGGAAACAAAAAAACAAAAAAAGATAGATTTTTTCCAGGAATTGAGAAGGGGCGTTAGGCAGTTTTTGTGGATAAGTTTGAGCACGGTTTCGGCACGCAATTAGGTGCTGTTTTGCTGTGGCGAAGGGTTCGTTCTGGAGGGCTGATGCTTGCATGCAACTTGCAGCCACCAAACAAGAGCTGCAGGAGACAGAAAAAGTCGACATTTTTTCTAGGAATTCAGAAGGGACGTTAGGCAGTTTTTGTGGATAAGTTTGAGCACGGTTTCGGCACGCAATTAGGTGCTGTTTTGCTGTGGCGAAGGGTCCGTTCTGGAGGGCTGATGCTTGCAACTTGCAGCCACCAAACAAGAGCTGCAGGAGACAGAAAAAGACAGACATTTTTTCTAGGAATTCAGAAGGGACGTTAGGCAGTTTTTGTGGATAAGTTTGAGCACGGTTTCGGCACGAAATTAGGTGCTGTTTTGCTGTGGCGAAGGGTCCATTCTGGAAGCCTGATGCTTGCAGTTTGGAGCCACCAGACAACAGCTGCAGGAAACAAATGAAATAAAAAAGAGATATTTGTTCAAGGAATTCAGAAGGGGCGTTAGGCGGTTTTTGTGGGTAAGTTTGAGCACGGTTTCGGCATGCAATTAGGTGCTGTTTTGCTGTGGCGAAGGGTTCCTTCTGGAAGCCTGATGCTTGCAGCTTGGAGCCACCACACAACAGCTGCAGGAGACAGAAAAATATTTTTTTTCTAGGAATTCACAAGGGACGTTAAGCAGTTTGTGTGGATAAGTTTGAGCACGGTTTCGGCACGCAATTAGGTGCTGTTTTGCTGTGGCGAAGGGTCCGTTCTGGAGGCCTGATGCTTGCAGCTTGGAGCCACCAAACAAGAGCTGCAGGGGACAGTAATTCACGAGCTCAAGACCCAGACTCTGGTTGAAGTCGTCGAGGAACTGCTCAGGGGGGTGAAGGGGTTTGGTGGGTGGGTGTTCTTACTATATCAAAATATCTTGTCAAATATATTGCATTCAAAAATATTAAATATACCTTATGAAATACTGAAGAATATTTAGGTCAATCTTGTGACCTTGGTAATCCACCGACTATGTCACTTTGTCCGAAGTCTCTGGCCTTCCCCAGCTTCTTCACATTCTTTTCCGGGGTCGGCGGCAGGGGCGGCAGCCCTTAAATAATAGTGTTCCATATATAGGAATCCTTAAAATGGACATATAAATAAAACACATACATGTGTATATATATATATTGATGGTATAGCTACCCCTCTGAAAAATATGAGTTCGTCGGTTGGGATGATGACATTCCCAATGTATGGAAACATAAAAAATGGTTCAAACATGTTCAAACCACCAACCAGATATAGTGTTTGAATGTTTTTGATCTGCGCACACGTTGTGAATCATCCAAGCAATATCCTCACCTTGTGCTGCTTTATGGTATGAGACTGTATGGATACACCATGGAACAATCTCAGGGTCATTGTCATGGAAAAAGAACCCAAAAAGGTATATAAGCCTGGGGCCCCCCAGTTATAAGTTGGTTTATAAACCCCATGAAAACTATAGTTATTTGCGTATATTAAACCATAATTATCTGGTTGGTGGTTTCAATCCCTCTGAAAAATATGAAAGTCAAACTGGGAGTATTATTCCCAATATATGGAAAAATAACACATGTTCCAAACCACCAACCAGCTATAGTTATAGTATGTTATAGTTAACCACCAAATAGCCATTGAACATGACCATAGAAATAGTGGATTTACCCATTCAAAATGGTGATGTTCCATAGTTATATTAGTTTACCAGAGGGTAAACCATCATTAACCATCATCAAATTAACCATTAATATCCATTCACCATCCATTCACCACTATTAACCATCATTAACCATTGTTATAACCATCATTAACCATTATTAACCATCCATTAACCACTATTCACCACTATTTGCCATAGATTTCACTACTATTAACCACTATTAACCACTATTGACCATCATTAACCATTGTTATAACCATCATTAACCAAAGAGAGTAAACCATAGTTATTGAAGTGATCTTCACCAACTGAACGCTATCGATTTCAGGGGCCCACCACATTTTTTCAGTGACTTTCCTGGAGATCATCAGTCAGATCGGGACCCCACGGGTTGGGATTTCAACAGCATTTCCTACAAGTTGAGAAAAGCCATAGTGGGTTCGTTCCATAAGCCCATACCCTTATGCTCTATGTATAGTATATTTACCTACATTTGGGTGATGTTGTTCGGGCAAATGTTGGTCAATAGTCCAGCACCATGGAGCATTTGGGCTATCGAAAACCATCGAAAACTCACCTATGAAAATGCCGGGATGATCGGGATATATAGGATCCATGTATGCTATATATGGTAACATTTACCATCAATATACCCCAAATGTTAGCATATATACCATATATACGATACATGGATCCTATGGGAGATATATATATATATATATATATTATATATATCGGGATGACCCCAAAACGATGCGACTTCACCCAGCCTTCGTCGTCTTCTGCGATGTAGGGCGCCGTGCACCATTCCGTGAACTCACCTGGCAGTCGCAGCGTATCACTATGAGTCAACACCCTGGCACCCTAGGTACCCCCAAAAAGTACCTGGTTAATGGATCTTTATTCCGCCAAATATGGTAATAAGAGGTTTTGACCCATCCCCATATCTTTTAGTTAAATGATTTTTAGGGTCGCGAAACACGATGGATCTTCCTTTAAAATTAACCTGAGATTCGATGATACAGCTGGAAACAACTGCAGATTTGACGAGACTTGTGAAGCTAAGACTGAAGCACCAATTTGGAAAACACGAATTCACCACGGATGGTGCCCCCCCCCCAGTGATGTGAATGTTGGTTTAGAAAACCCCCATGAGTACTAGTTTGTTAAACCATAGAATTCAGCAACTTATAACTTGATATCTCAACTGAACGCTATCTTGGGGGCCCCATCCTGCAGCAATCTGATTTTGTTTATCGGTCTGTTGACCCACACAAAAACTTGATCAACGAACTCGTGAAACAAATCTACTCAATTCCATCGACATTATTTGCGGGGGAGGGGTCCTAAGTCCTAGGGGATTCCCAAGTCACCATGGGTTTCAATATGAAAATGGTCTAATGACTGGATGAAAACGGGAGGTACTGCCGCAGGACTGGATGGAAACCTCCATGGCTGATTGATTTAGATGTTGGATGGAAATATAGAATATAGTATCTATATCTAAAAGTAATTATGTACATATAATATCATATAATCATATATGTATTGATGACAAACCATTTCTATGCTATTTTACGTTTGTTATTGTTACATATGGGTCCAAATTTGTTCCGCCGGTTCATCTAACCCCATTTTTGGGAGCAGTGCTGAACCGGAGAGGCCCGACAAACAATAAACTTATAGGTAAGTTGAGATATAAGTGGCTGAATTCTATGGTTGATTAGGTAGATAAAACAAACTAGTATTCATGGGGTTTAAAAACCAACTTATAACTGGGAGCACCATCCTGAAGTAATAGAGTAAATGTAGTAGATGCAGTAAATATAAATAGTCAAATCATGTAAAATGAACATTTTGTTCGACATGATACTGTTTTAACGTATACTGAATATAATCATTAACGATTAAACATCTATGTATTGATTATATATACATGTATCTGTACATGTGTGCGTGTATATATATATATAATATACTACATGTATTGTATATTGTATACTACATTGTATACTACATGAATGTATTCTACACGTGTATAGTACCCGTCATTTCTTGCTGGGTATCAGTACCTTCTATGCCTCATGACTTTGTGTGATGTGGCAAATCCAATAAATAACAAGCCCCAAATGACTTTCCAAAAATTGGCCGTATAGACAATGCCCTAAATGGATGTGTCTGCTATTGGGTTTGCCACATCAAAATTTCAATAATTTATCTGGAGAATTCATAGCATTTCACCAGCCTTAGACAAGATAAATAAGTAAGGTCATGTGGGAATATGGGAATATGATCTGGGTAAATTGTATTTATACTTATTCACTGACCTGAAATATATAGGAAGAGTTGATGCTTCAAGTCGAATGCAAGCTTTAGAAGCATACAGAAAACGGAAGTTTTTTATCCAAGGCATCGACTATACTTCTGTTGAGGCTTGTGACTTCGAAAGTTACTGCATCATCACCGAGTTCTTGACTTTGAAGCATGACAAATTCTGGCACATAAATCTAGTTCAATATCACAACACCATCTCGGACTTGTTGCTTCATAAAGAGCTTCTCCAAGATGTCTCTTGCATTGAAAACATGAAGCGATGCAGTTTTCAGAGCTTCCTTGGCCTTGCCAATTGATTTGACAATTGATAGTTTCAGCCAATTCCTGTTCAAATTGTCTTCAGTGCAAGTAGTGCAGCGTGGGATCGACGACTTCTCTTTACAACTTTTCAAAAGCAGCTGTGAATTTCCCAATCATTGAGACTCTGATCGCGGAAGGAAAACTATCTGACACTGCTTTCACCAAATCCAGCATCAAAAGAGTGGTGTCAAAATATACCGGAAAAAAACGGCCACTGATCTCTTTGGCCGGCCCCCTCCCAAAAAAAAACCTGAAATTATATAGATGAAATTAGATGTTTTTTTTCGGCCATTTGGGGATAGTTTAGTATATTCCAGTGAGGTCCATTCGGTCGTGATCAAAAAAATCCAGATATGATGGGAGGTTTGGGGTAAACTAACCATGAAACCCTCTGGTAAACGTTTACATAACTATGAAAAATCACCATTTTTGATGGGAGAATCCATTATAAATGGGCCATGTTCAATAGCGAACTGTTAGTTTACCGCAGGGTACTCACCATCGTGGCAACTGCACAGTCGCAATCGTGCCAGAATCTCGAGTAAGCCGTTCGAATCTGTCCTGAAACCAGAGACTTTTCGTGGCAATGTACCAATTGGGGCCCAAAATGGAATAGCAACTGGCAAATGGCTGGTCTTGTTGAATGGGTTTCTGAAGGCAAGTTATGTTAGCTTACCAAAATGGATTAAACTAACATAACTATGGGACGGTTTGGGTTTCTGAAGCAGTTTTAATCCATTTTGCAAGTTCATCTAGAGGCAAGCACCCTGCAAATTACCGCATGTCCTACTAGACAGGATGAAATAGGTACGGTGGCTCAAACATTTTGAAAAATCATGTCTCTGGGCAAATTACAATAATTCATGAACCTCAATTTGTTTGTTGGGTCGGGATATCCCAATAATATTCAATAATTATAACTAATTATAATCATATATCATATATCATATATCATATATCCCAATAATATATCCTTAAATGTCCCATTTACATTGGGATAATTTCCCTTACTAATCATCATTCCAGTGAGGTCGTTGCACGATGTCCGACTCAAAATTCGAGGACGGGCCCGGGTAAGGGCCCCGAGTGCCATGACGGAACATGGCGATTTACCCATGAACAATGGGCATAACATGACTGGTTGGTGGTGTACCTACCCCTCTGAAAAATGATGGAGTTCGTCAGTTGGGATGATGAAATTCCCAACTGAATGAAAAGTCATAAAATTCCATGGTTCCAAACCACCAACCAGATGATGATTTATTGGAAAGGTTCCCCAGAAGTGCCTGCACTTTATTTTTTCGGGAAAAATCAAGATCCTTGCGAAAAGCCACCTAAACCTGGAATCGGGGACGTGAGCCGCTCTGAAAGGCGTTGCATCAAAACACTGGCCCCACAAATTGGTAATCCAAATTGTGCCACGCAGATTTTAATGAATATATGTGGTGGATAAATGTTCGCCGCCTGATGGATTTTTTTTTGGTTTCGGGCGTGGTGCATGGTGAAGTTTGTTGGAATTTTGGTGGATTTGTTTAAAGAGGAAAATGCAAACACATAATGCCGATTCTTCGCCGCAAACTTCACCAAAATATATACACGACATGTTTCACTCAGAAACTTCGCCGGCAAAGCTTCGCCGGCAAAACTTCGCCAGCAAAAGTTCGCCAACATAATTTTGCGCGTTATTTGCCATTTTTCATATAACTATGTTGCCCCTGTGGGCACTTACACAAACGTGATGTTCATCGGGATAAACCTTGCAACAGATGAACAAAAATTCTGCAGGAATTTTGGCCTAAGATTTATCCATGAAAAATTGGGATTTACATGGTGGTTTATAATAGCTGAGTCGACGCAAAGTTCGGGCGAATTCTGTTGGGCTTATGGAACAACGAACTGATTACTGTAAGGGGGTTTTAAAATCAACTTGAAATAAGGGGCCCTATCTTGTACAGATATGGCCGTTTATGAGTTATAAGTTATAAGTTATTTCTATGGGGTTATACATTCTATAAATGGGGTTAGTTCAGTACTTATAACTGGTAAAGGGCCATAACTGTATTGGTTGTTGAAAATATGATGAGTTCTTTTTTCCCCAGCCAGTCAGTGACAAAGGAATGTCCTTCAGCCAAAATTAGGCACGTTATCACCCTATCAGTGGGCGCATGGTATTGGTTTGGTGAATATTTTGAAACCACCAAGTCACACGAAAGATAAACAGGTTGGTGGTTTCAACCCCTCTGAAAAATATTAGTCAATGGGAAGGATGATATCCCATATATGAAATGGAAAATAATCCAAATGTTCCAAACCACCAACCAGTAAAGATGAGCAGGGTTCAAAACCTGAAATGTTGTTCCCTTACACTAGCTTGTGACAGTTATTCTGGTATTCCCAGTTCACGGACTGTACCAATCCCCAATCGATTGGATTCAGATTGACCTGATATATTTATCAACCAACTGTCATGTATCTATCCTCATGTACTTCACGTTTTTTAAAACCTCTATGACTGATGGTGAAATGGAGGTTTTCTCAAATAAGGATACCCCAAATCATCCTAATCTAAATAAACATATTTTATTATTGAGCCAATGGTGACGTGGGGATCCCCCATTTGGGGTTGTCGAAAAAAGCACCCCTGAATCCATTGATTAATCAGAACGTTCATGAATTTTCCCTACTAAAATAAATATAATATGGCGAAAAAAAACGATGTTTTCAGACACACCCATTTTGCTTGGTGGTTCATCTCACTTACTAAGTGGGATATAACCCTGGTTATAAGTGGGATAAGTAGGGTTAATCATAACTAGGGTTATAACATACTTACTAAGTGGCATGGGCCACCAAGTACAAGGTGGTTCCCCTCCAGTGATGTTTGTTGGTTTATAACCCCCATTAAGTAGTTCGGTATATCTCCCATAAATCCAAGTTATTGGAGTTATGTTCACCAACTTAGCTAACTATGGGGCACCACATTGTAGTGACCATGCATGACCACGCTTCGTCATACCGGATTATGTTTTGTGGGTAATAGTGATTGATCATGGTTTATAATGGTGGATACTGGATTATTTATAATCAACCAACAGGGTTTTTCCGCTTCCGCGGCCAGTTCCACCAAGATGCACAGAAACTTTCACGCAACACGGCTTGAGCTTCAGAACGTCTGCCTGGAACCGGCGTGAATCAATGGGCCGAAACCGGTTGATTTGGAGGTTCCTAGCATGGATAAGGCCTATCTTTTAAGGATATGTTTGTTGGAGCATTTCCAGAAGATATGGTTTTATAAGTTTTATAGTATGGTACAGTACCTCTAGTTTAGGGTCCTGAAATTAGAATATCCTCTGGTTATTGAACAGTTTGATAATGGTATATATAGTCCAAAGAAATGGTGATCAACATGATGATTTGCCGTTCTTAAAAATGCTATGCTAAATTACCAGAAGGTATCCAACAAAAAAATCATGGTAAACCCGTGGGCACAAGAAATCAAGTAGTTTGGCTCCCGAAATTTCCATTTATTAGCCCCATTTATATGGCTACTGGGAAACTATAACAATTCATCAGCCTGGAATAGGTCATTAGGGGATAGTTACCACTTACCAGCCATCAATGGAGGTTTAAATCAACAAACCTTGATAGCCCCATGAAAGGAATTATATAATATTATATAATTTATATAATATCATACTGGTTGTGATTAAATGGTACTCACAGCATTCGGGCTGGCCGAAGAAGATTCCTGCAGCTTGACCATGAATTTCTCAGGTAGCCCGACTTTTTGTTGCCGGTGATCCCAGGGTGATCCCAGGTAGCCCTCCAACTGCAACGACTGAAGCTGTGATCGAAGCACCGAATTTCATGACGCGGGACTTGCGGGCCAGTCCTGGCGCTTCTTCCTGCGTCGCGCTTCGATATGCGCACAAAACTGGCGCACATTCTGCGTTGCAATCGCATACTCATGTCCCTTTCAACTCCCAGCCTTGTCTGGACTCGCAACGAGCTCAACTTTGGGTCCACCAGGCCTGACACCCAAATAATGGCCCACATAGCCACAAGCCGTTGCGAGCACTCGGTACAGAGTGCCATCTGAGGGTCAGCCATTCACTTGCGACGAACCTTTGGCCGATCACTTGCGACGAAGGGTCCTCTGAAGCTCTCTCAATTACGTGTTAATTACTACGTGCCTGGAGATACATCGACGAGAGAAAGAGCTACCTTACAATGCCAATGGTCTTACCTTTTAGGGTCTAGGGGTGGGAGGGACTGGTAGTGGCTTAGGGTCTAAGTGCGTTTCTAATCATGTGCCAAACCTGACAGTGCCGATGGTTTTACCTTTTAGGGTTTTGGGGTGGGGGGGTGTACGTCACAAACGACGAGAAAAACAGCGTCACGAGATCTCCGAGATCAACAGGGTCACAGGTGGTTTGGGTCGGATTGAACTTGTACAGAAGGCCCATGGGCAGTCCCAATTCATTCATTGCTTCATCAAAATTCAAGCATGTTAGTATTGAAACCCATGGACAGATGGATAGAAACTACTTGGGGGCGAACTACCCACGAATCCTAAGAATCCTAAGTGGGCTATATCCCTGGTTATAAAATGTTATAAGTGGATATAAGTGGGATGAAAAGTAAGGTTAATCCACTTATAACCAGGGATATAACCTACTTACTAAGTGGGGTGAGCCATCAAGTAATCCTTGAGTTCTCTGCTATAAATATGAACACAAACCATGTTCATAGCAAACTAGTTTATTTTATTTGTGTGGGCTACCAACGATTGACCTTGTTTGCCCTTTGGTCATCTGACATAGGTATTGAATAGATTCCCATAGAACTAAATTCTTTACCTATTGAACATGAGGATTTTCCATAGCAACCTCTTAAATGAACAGAGGGTACCTTAGTGGTTAGGAAATGAGCAAAAAATACAGTTACATGATTATATCCATATATCTGGGTCAATTGTAATATTTCACTAACCTGAATCTTGCGGCCAATTGGGGCTGATTCCTCTTATTAACCATGATTTCCAGTGAGGGAGAACAGTGAGGTCGTGATGAAATTTACCCAGATAAAATGTGATGACTTGGGTACACAAACTACAGTATATCTATATATACTGGTTGGTGGTGTCAACCCCTCTGAAAAATCATGAAAGTCAGTTCGGATTACTATTCCCAATATATTAAAAAAAACATGTTCCAAACCACCAACCAGATATACTTGATGGATTGATGTCTATGAACCAAATCTATATGGTAAAATCTATGCCTTGGGTATAAAATGGTACAATGTGGTGCCCCATAGTTAGCTAAGTTGGTGAACATAACTCCAACAACTTGGATTTATGGTAGATATACCGAACTACTTAATGGGGGTTATAAACCAACGTTCACATCACTGGAGGGGAACCACCTTGTACTTGGTGGCCCATGCCACTTAGTAAGTAGGGAAAAAAACCCTAGTTATGACTAACCCTAGTTATAACCCTACTTATCCCTTGGGTATAAAATGGTATCTATCTGGGTAAATTATAACAATTCACTAACCTGAATTAAGGCCATTTGGGGATGATTCCTCTTATTAACCATGATTCCAGTGAGGTCGCAGTGAGGTCGTTATAATTTACCCAGATCTATATATGGTTAACAATTGATTTGTTTAATGGTCCCAGGATCATCCCCCACGGTTCACATGATGACTTCTTCACACAGTGTTTTTTCATAAGCGACTGAATGGGGACGACCTGTTCACCAGGAATATGAAGTCATGAACCTGGCTTTATCTGCCTTTGTTATTGAAGGTACCCTCTGGTAAACTAACATAGCTATTGAAAATGGTCATAGAAATAGTGGATTTACCCATTAAAAATGGCGATTTTCCATAGCTATGTTAGTTTACCAAAGGGTATACCAGATTTCCAGGGCTACTGAACTGGTTTTTAGTCTTTTGAGACTAAAAACCAGTCATGAACCACTAAGGGGGACGCTTCAACCGGCTGTCCCTCCGTCCTCCTTCGAAGACCGACGCCAACGTGCTGCGCATCAGTCCTGACGCCCAGGTGATGAGAAGTGCAAGGCGAGCGCGGACCGTTTTCTGATAGGTTGCCTTGCAACTGGCTCAATTCTATGACTTATGGTATATATATATATACCCTCTGGTTATTTAACATAGCCATGGGAAATGGCCCATAGAAATAGATGGTTTACCTATTAAAGATGGGTGGATCTTTCCATGGCGATGTGCTTAAATAACCAGATGGTATATATAGTTGATGAGCTTATAAGTTAGTAACTTACAGTATTACAAAGCAACTTACAATGTCTGGGGGAGGCGCCTTGTATCTGAGATGACCGGGCTTGGTGAACCACCTGGTTTTGTGAACGTGGGATGTAGGCTTCATCCACTGAAATAACTCCCATGAACCAATCACTTCTTAGGATTCGTGGCTAGTTCGCCACCAACTTACCAACAATAGATATAATATGTGTATATATGGGGATACTTCATGGCTACTATTGTAGGTTAATGATGGTGAATAGTTAACATGGCCAATCTTAGATACCCTGCCAAAAAAACAAAAAACTTAGCTGGTTAGTAGACAATCCCAGTGATAGCAAAAGATTAAAGGATTAGTTTGTACCCATCCAAGAATTACCTAGTTAATAATGATTACCCTCTGGTAAACTAACATCACTATGGAAAATCAGCATTTTTAATGGGAAACTGTTAGTCATTATTGAATGGGAAAATCCACTATTTCTATGGTCATTTTCAATAGCAAACTGTTTGTTTACCAGAGGGTATTATCCATTATATATCCTAATAAATCCCATTAAATCCCATGGAAAATCATTTTTAATAGGTAAAACCGCTAATCAATGGGATTATAGATTTAATGATAATACCCTGATGATAAATGATGGTGATTAATGATCATTATCATTGATTAAATCCATGATTAATCCCATTAATCATTTATCACCATTTTTTGATTTTCATGATATCATTTAAATTACCATTTCTAATATGAAATCCCATGGAAAATTCCATGGAAAATCACCATTTTTAATAGATAAATCACCATTAATGATATCAATGATATCAATGGGAAAGTGTCGGCCATCCCTTCATCTCCCAAGTCTCCAACCGAGCGTCTCGGTCACGACGCAGCACGGACGCAGGACTGCAGTCGAAAAACGACGCAGCGCCGCGCGGCCATTTTTGACCGTCACATGGCCATGGCCAACATCCAAAAAACCTAGGTTAAATAATGGTTAAATAATGTTAATAATGTTGGTGTGTTTTTAACCAATCAACATTTAACATTATTTAACCTAGGTGTGTTTTTTTAGTATGTTGATGATTGGTTAAATAATGTTAAATAATGTTAACTGTATCCCAAAAAATATCCCCGTTCCATGAAATGGCTTGAAAATCTTGAAATTGGAACTGGTGGGTGAAAAAAACTCCACTGCTAAGTTGGTTTAACTTCTAGTGGTTATCCAAATAAACTACCTTATCCCCACCCACCAACAAAAAAACACGAAGGGTCCCAGGGCCGGGAACTGCCATGGAATCTTGTTCGTTTCTCAACATCGATGTGAGTGCTTCTAGTTCTAAAGACCATCGATGGCATTCACGAAGTAGCATGTGGAAGCAACAATATCAATGGATTGGTTTAAGGGAAAATCTTAACCGGAAACCATGGTTTTTACCATAAAATATAGGGGGTTCCGCTTAAAATTTTCCCATCATCCAATTCTATGACAATAACATCAAAAAACAACCATGACCGGGGCTTGTGACGCCAAAAAACGGCTCATCCGCACTGAGAAGCTGGAGCCGTTGTCAACTCCGTTGGGTGGGGATCTTCCATTGCATTCTTTGACCGGATACGGTGGAGAAATGTGTTTCACATCTTCCATAATTTCAAATATCAAGGTCACAAATCTTCGGACAAAACTATTTCAAAGTACCTATAGATCCTCCAAATACCACCCAAAAACACGGGAGGGTCTAGGTATATCCTCAAATTACATTGGCAAATTGGGTTTGTGGTTGGTGGTATACCTACCCCTCTGAAAATTTGAAAGTCAGTTGGGAGTATTATTCCCAATATATGGAAAAATAAAATTCATGTTCCAAACCACCAACCAGTTTAGCCATGACATCTCATTCGCTCAGATTTTCAGCGCTTCTCGAAGTGTGGCTCCAGATTCTTCAGCTCCTAGACTTTGCTGCACTCGGGCTACCGAACTGGGGACGTTGACATGAGATTAGCACCATTTTATGCCACAAATAAACAGGGGAATACCCTAAATCTTCCAAACATATGAACAAGTTGATCATTTTCATGTGTATTTTGTTTTTAATGGATTTAATGGCCTTCTGTGTTTGCTTGATTTTACTGAGGATCGGGATCGAATGGGAAATTAATCAATAAACATTGGCAAACCCATACTGGTTGGTGGTTGACCTACCCCTCTGAAAAATGATGGAGTTCGTCAGTCGGGATGATGAAATTCCCAACTACAGTAAATGGAAATTCATAAAAATTATACAAAAATCATATTCCAAAACCACCAACCAGCATATCTGGAATTGTGGAAGCCAGCTAACAATGGGGTTCTGAACACAGAACCAGGTCTTTTTTAGCCGAAAACGAGGACTTGATCGTCTCCAAGACGGAGCTGTTTTTAGCAGCACATTCTTCTACCATGATTCGGAAGAACATGTTGGATATCATATCATATCATCTCATGCAACAATAAACTGGTTGGTGGTATACCTACCCCTCTGAAAAATATGAAAGTCAATGGGAAGGATTATCCCATCCTACCCCTCTGAAAAAATAATATGAAAGTCAATCGGAAGGATTATCCCATATATTCTGGAAAATAAAATTCATGTTTCAAACCACCAACCAGATAAGGCTTTCAGATGCTTTCAGTAGATTTGACGCACACATGGAAAACTGCTGGACAAGTCATCCAGTAAACCAATCCCATGAAAATCGTCTTGAAAAACGTGTTGTGAGACCCTGCAGGATGGGGCCCCCAAGATAGCGTTCAGTTGCCTTGCAACTGGCTCAATTCTATGACTTATGGTATATATATATATACCCTCTGGTTATTTAACATAGCCATGGAAAATGGCACATTTATAGATGGTTTACCTATTAAATTAAACATTGTGATTTTCCATGGCTATATGTTACATAATCAGATGGTAATGGGGGTTATAATGGTTTATAAACCAACTTAAAAGTGGAGGGCCCCATCCTGTGCAGACCATACAAGTGAATAATCCACAGAAATATGATGAAATATGGCTGTCAAAGGCCGAATGGAATCGATGCCACAGTTACAAAAATCTGGGATAGCTGGATGTTCATCACGAAAATTAGCGTTGGGCAAAGTGGTGCCCGTTGGAGAAGTTCGTTGATCATTCCAATTTCACTGTTTTTTTGTAGTAGATACATCTATGCTTCCTATGGTGGTTATACAAACCACTTATTAGGTATTAACAAAAAGTCACCTGTCTGGAAGCCTTTTCTGCTTGATTCCTAGTCATTCCCATGGCCGTTGATCGAGCCTCCCTTGTTGGATCATCATATGATTCCGCCGGACACCAGCTAGTTTCTTGTCCTAGATCAACATCATTCCACTTTACCGTCTGGTTATGACTAACATCGCCATGGAAAGATCCACCCATTTTTAATAGGTAAACCATCTATTTCTACGGGCCATCCATACCATGGCGACATGTTAGTCATAACCAGAGGGTAAACCCAAGGATGTCTTGTTGAATATCCCAAACAGCTATGGTGCTGCTATACATCAACAATCATCAACACTCTGGTCATCGCTGAGCAATCATCCTGGCTTCGGCAAAACCTGAGACCCTGCAGGCCCCGGATCATGTAACAAGGATGTCCTGAACAGCTGCCTCAACACTCTCCGCAAGAATCAGGAACCTAAACAGCGACCAGGAACCGCACATGTTGGTGGATGTGGGGATGACATGACTGGGACTCAATATAGTTCATTCTATTTCTATATCTATCCAAATAAACCAAGTAAAGTATATTTATCTATCATCACCCAAGGATATTCATGGATATCCTATTCATTCCATGAAGGTGTTTTATTTTAAAAAAAACGGGGGGTGGGATTCATATGGGACATGATTGGCTGGTTGGTGGTTGACCTACCCCTCTAAAAATGATGGAGTTTGTCAGTTGGGATTATGAAATTCCCAACTGAAGGGAAAAATAAACATGTTCCAAACCACCAACCAGTAGGGGTATCCACAACAAAACAATGTGGAATTTACCAAAATCATAGGGGATGAATGAACATCGTGCTGTGCTTTCTTCTTGGGAAACGATCTCCAAATCGAGGAATGACAAAAAGTGAATTCGGAATTTGAGAACAAAAACATCCCCAATTCATCACTTTTTCTTATCGGGGGATTTAATTGTGTAGTAGGGGTATGCACAACAAGAAACAACATTTTTGAGATAAATTACCCTCTGGTAATTTAACATAAATATGTAAAATCACAATTTATAGTGGATTTTCCTATAAAAAATGGTGATTTTCCATGGTTATGTTAGTCATAACCAGAGGGTAAATTCTTTCCTATGGATCCCCCATTACCTGGAGGATCGTCTCAATTAGCAAGTGGGGCGACTGTCATAATCTTGGCGATCATGACTGTCTATCCCCCTATTCCTGCAGTTATCCATAAGAAAAGTATATATGGGGGTTTCCTACAATAGGGGTACCTCCTAAATAAATCATCAGTTTTGATGGGTATTTTCCATTGTAAACCATTCATTTGGGGGTATTCAGCATTTATGAAACCCCCATATGTCACAAAGTAAGACTGGTTGGTGGTTTCAACCATCTTGAAAAATATTAGTCAAATATTAGTCAATGGGAAGGATTATCCCATATATTATGGAAAATAAAAAATGTTTGAAACCACCAACCAGAAATTGAGTGTGCAAAGGTTTATCCTTTCCAGCCGTGCTGAGA